GGTAACTTCCAGTGTTGTCTCTTGCCTCTCCTTTTCCACAAATTGCTTTTGACCAATTTGGCTTTCCAAAGATAGCCTGTCTACAACTCAAAGTCTCCTAGAGTGTGCTCATTTTAATTATTATTAAGAGGCAGCAAGACTGACACAAGTTGGTGACCACTTACACTATGTCATTGAAAAGACACAAGGAGTAAGTCCTGTCCAGGGTGTCATTTCCTGATTTCAAAACTTTTAATAATTTTAGGGCATCCTGATTAAAATGCAAATACTCTCTTCTGTTAATCCTTGATTTTTCTGCACATATCTACTATAGTGCTTTCTATATTACAATTCTATTTTATACTGTATTGCTCATTGTAATTAATTTTATGCTTTTGTGTCTGCATAAGACTGTAACCCATTTTCACAGAAATGGTGTTATAATCCTTATATTTTAGTATCTAAGGTAGTACATAGTAACACTGGGTCTTAACACATGTTAAACTTTTGAATTAACAAATATAATATATAGGTGGAGAGGTGAGAAACTTATACCATTAATTTATAACGTAGTCCTTTGAACTGTAATACTAATGAGTATCAATTAGGGAAGTGAAACAATTGATGTAACAGTTATCCCAAATAACAACAGCTTAAACACAATGTGAGGAAGTTTTCTCAGTAGTGAGAAATCCAAAGGAAGGTAATTGCTGGTATCAGTTTGGAAGTTCAAGGATGTCATGGCTGAAGTCTCAGTAATTCCTGGCCTTTCTCTCAAGGATGCAAGGTGGCTGCCCCAGTTCCAGCCACCTGTGTACTTTCCAGGAGTGAGTAAGGAAGAGAGGGTCAAATCTGTATCAAGAAAGCAGAACTTACCCAGAAATTCCATCAGATTTCTGTTTATATCTCACGGGACAGAATTATGGCAGTTTGTCTTGCATTGCAATAAACATGATGAAAATATGGGGGTGGGGTGATTCTATATCTGTTTTTGCCTGCAACAATACTGGGACTCAGCAAGTAAGAAGAGGAGAATGAACTGAATAAGCCGCATGAAATGTGTCATGAGGGGCAGGTTGGTACACTGAGGAGTATTTGAGCGCTGAGAGAGTCAGTGTAAATGGAAGAGGAAACGCAAGAAGTCAACTAATGGCTGCTTCACTATCCTGCCCACTAACAGTGAAGAGGCACCAGGTATTTTTATCTAACAGCTTTGAAACCTGACTAAAAGCATGGGCTACATGGGAATCCTAATACAACATCTTTCTATTAAACATTTTTCCTTCAGCCCTTAATGGACTTCATGAGAACACTGAGCACTGAGCACTTTCCCAAGCACTTTCTATGTAGCTGGCCCTGTAGCACAATGAATAATATAATACCTGCTTCAAGATGTCCACTGGAAACTGAATTTTGCATAACGGATGTGGGCACAGGGTCTTACAGTGGTACTCTGAAGAGGTACTTAACCCAGACTGGGTGTGTGCTTGTGCAGTGAGAGTCTAGCCTGGGAGGATACAAAGTGAAAGTGGAGCTAAGTCTTAATTACACAAAAAGGGCATCAAAGGAAGAAGTACAGAAGGGTGTTACAGGCATAGAGAATTGGTGCATAAAGGCACAGGGAGGCAAAGAGAGTAAAAAGCATGCCGAGATTTGCAATTTTTTTCAGTAGAGCAAAGCATAACACCTAAGGAGTAAAGACAATGGCAGTGAGACAAACCAGAAGAGAGGTAAGAAAAAACCAAACGGTAGTTTTAAACAATAAGACATGAAATGATGTTAAACTGATATTAGTTCTATGCTTTACAAAAATTAGCTTTGTCTTAGTTTATTGAAAAGGGTTAAAAATAGAAGGGTCGGGCGCGGTGGCTCACGCCTATAATCCTAGCACTCTAGGAGGCCAAGGCAGGAGGATTGCTCAAGGTCAGGAGCTGGAGAACAGCCTGAGCAAGAGTGAGACCCTGACTCTACTAAAAATAGAAAGAAATTAATTGGCCAACTAAAAACATACAGAAAAAATTAGCCGGGCATGGTGGTGCATGCTTGTAGTCCCAGCTACTTGGGAGGCTGAGGCAGGAGGATCGCTTGAGCCCAGGAGTTTGAGGTTGCTGTGAGCTAGGCTGATGCCACGGCACTCTAGCCGGGGCAATACAGTGAGACTCTGTCGCAAAAAATAAAATAAAATAAAATAAAGAGATGGAATTCAGTTAGGGAACTATTTTAATTGTTCAAATTATGAGGGCCTACACCAAAACAGTATCAGAGGATGGGGGAGGGAGAAGGTTGATCCCACATACATTAAACAAATCAATTTAAAGAGCACACTTAAATGCTCGTGTGTGTGTGAGAGAGAGAAAGAGAGAGAGAGAGAGAGAGAGAGAGAGAGAGAGAGAGAGAGAGAGAGAGAAATGTGCATGGCAGGGGGAGCTAATGTAGAGGTGGGACAGAAATGAGAGTAAAATACTAAAACATCTCCCCTTCACTCATTCATTGGCTGAACAATAATGGTTTAACTGATTTTTCTTAAGTTGAGCGTGTGTCTGGCGTAATGTGCTACCTTCGTAAGACATAATATGGATATCTGCTATCTGCTCATATTAATAACTATATATCTGAGCCAAGCAGGACATAAGGCAACTTAAACAAGAAAATAGTCACTTGGCCATTGAGAAGCCCAACAATGTGCTTTTGAATCATAATTGAACACCGTACTTTCTTGAGCAAATCTCAAAGACCAAGGGAATGATATGCCACATAGGATTTTATTAAGCAAAGATCAGGCCTATTCACACCATGTTTCCATGGTGAACTGTCTTCAAAACAACTTATCAAATAAAATGAGACACATATTACATTGGCCTCTGTAGCAAGTACAGAATCTGGTATAAATAAATCAGAAAAAAATTCTTAACCTATAAGGAGGAAAATGATACAAGATTCATGAAGTTAATCCAAGTAAAAAATTTCCTTATTGTTTTTCAAAAGTTTGGTTTCCTCTGTTAGTGTATTGGGGGATTATATGACCTTAAAGACAACTAAATCAACAAATTAGTAAAAATGAATATTCATGATTAAATTAAATGCATGGTATAGTGGTTATGAGTTCACTTTAAGTCAGAAAGACCTTAAGTAGAATCTTGGCTTTTCCACTCATGAGGTTTCTTAGCATCACAAAGTCTCATCAATAAAATACAGAGTAATGGTACATAGTTCATGGGTTTGTTGTTAGAAATAGATGCTTATATAGCACCCAGCCCCAAACCTGGCACATAGTAAGTCCTAAGTACGTATTAATGTAATGAATGCATTAAAAATATCCTGTGGAGTAGTTATTTGCATTCCTCTTTCACAGCAGAAGAGACTGAGGCTCTCAGTCAGCAATTTGCCTAAAGTCATAATTCCTACAAGTAAATATGAAAACCAGGATTCAAACACGGCTCCTATGTCAGGTTCATTGCTCTGATTTTTTAAAATCTACTTTTTAGAGGACATTCTTTCAACAAGCCTGGAACTAATGTAAATACTATACTGAGCTTACAGTTACAGAATCAAATGAGATGGAAGCATACAGAAGAAAATAAAAGCAAAAGTAGTCTATTGCAAACAGTTCACCACTGTAGTTCTGCAAATTATTAGGTTTAGAACACAGAACCTATGAGAAATGGTCAAAGTAATCAAGATAATTTAATCTGAAGAAGAGACAGTAGAGGAAAATAATTATCAAATTTACACATTTATAGAAATTACCAAATTTACAGAAATGTAATATTTAGAATATTATGTGTACTCTCATTTTGCAAGGATGGTTTCATTATTCCCAAAAGAATAAAAATTAAATACAAGGAAAACAAAGTTATAAGATAGGTACTCTGCTGCCAATTTTGACTGCGAATTTATGGTGGTGGTGGCAATTTCAGGACATTCTTACCTGGTGGCATGGGCTACATAAGAGTCCTATTTATGATTCATGGATAAGTTATTACGCTTATCTTGGCAAATTCTGTAGCTACAGAGGAGCTGCTACTTTGTAAGAAAATCTCAAAATATGGATTGCTTATTTTTCACACAATGAATATTTAAAAAAAAAATGTCTGAATTCTTGGGTTTCATTATTAAAATGTCCATGAGTTTACCAAAAAGGAATTGTTCACAGCAGTTTGCCACTTCACAAAGTTATCACCACCAAAGAATTTGATTATCCTGTAAAATTTTATCTCAGAATATAATTTCAAACTTACTAAATGATATATTTTTGGTTATTAGATTGAACTGAAGAAGTTTAGGAATTAGACATTCCCAAACTCTACTTTCAAGCAGACCACTGACTCCAGATAAACCATGAGTAAGGGTAAGAAAAAATGTAAATGATATTTCTCAATAGTCACAAACTATATTGACCATATCAACCTAGCATAAAAAGGTGGCTAATGACCATCTGATAGCAAAATGAGATTTTAAAAACAGAATTTTAAAAACAGAATTTAAGTGTCACATTAGCATATAAATATGCAATCACACCAGGGGGCGCTCTTAACACTGAAATGATGGATAGCATATTTTAGAACACGTGGTGGTCTCAGCTGGCCAAATGCAAAATTTTTCTAAGCATGTAGTATTTGCAGCAAGTACTCATCTTTTGAAAATATTTGCTGGCAATACACACATTTTCTTTTTCTTTTTCATCCAACTGTTTGTGCAGTTAAGACTATCAAGTTAGTATATCAAGTAAAACATTTTCTGCTGATAGGAAATATTTTATTTGAGAAACACTTCTCTCTTTAGACTGGCATCTGTCTCTTAGTCTTTCTGTATTTGGGCTGATTATCAATAAACAGAGTGTTAAATGGTACAATTATTAAAAATGGTTTCATTGTGATTTTATTTTTTACCTAATTTCCTACCAGAGCTGTATCTTTTTTCCTCCATTAAAAAAAGAGCAATTCTCAAAGTTATCTAAAATTGACATCATAGTGAAAGTTTAATCTGGGCAGTATTGAGTTGTGTCCATATTTTTTCATTACCTGGTAGGAACTCCGAAGTCTGGATGCTCTCCTCAGGAAGTTTAAGACTCAGCTCCCTAAAAATACAATTAGAAAATTAGTGTTGGGCTTCAAAGAAACAGAAAAAGACAAAAGGCAAGCACAGACTGTTACCCAGAGAAAATCACCATGTATTACTCCATCAACAGTAAATATTTTCATATAAATGACATCTGATTGAAATAAATTTTAAGAAACAATTTAAAGTTGAAATGAAAGCATCACAAACTATTCAACAAGGACATAGCTACCTGTTATTCAATAGTGGTAGGGAAAGAGTCTGTAAGCTTTCCTCAGCCAATCTAGTTGAGATCACCCCCTTCTATCTATCAGCTACCCCCAGAAGTCACCAACCACCTGTGCCCACGCTCAAACAGAAAAAGCTCTGGCCAACGTCCACCTAATATGTATGGAGAATAGTAAGCAACCTCTTTGATGAGAGTTCAAGGAAACAGGAATGGACCTCTCTACTGTGTGTGCTCTAAATCAAATTAACCAGCATACTAATGCCTCAAGTGCTATGTAGAGGAACAAATTTTTTCATTCCATAACAAGTGTAAGGCTTTAAAATGAACATACATCTAGACAAAAATGATGCATTTATTTACTACTTTAGAGTAAAGTGTATGTGAATGAAAGGAAATCCCATCCAAAAATCAGATTTCAATATGGTTTTCGAGGATGTGGGGACATAGGGGAAAAAAAAAACAGGATGAAAGGACAGGCCACAGGGGAGAAAATCCTGCAGGAAGGGTATATTGGGAGAGGAGTCAGCTGACTACCACTGCCTACTTCACAATCTTCCTAATCTTCGCAGCAAAATGAAAATTGAGGGGTTCACCAAGGTATGTCCAGCCTCATCTGGAGAGAGGCAACATCGGACGTGAAGCAATCTGGCACAGGGCAAAACCGCGTGAGTTTCCATCAATAGCAAAGTCAGGGAGCAGTGGTGTTGGGAATCTGTGTGGTCCATCCTGTTGGGCGGCTGGTCCTGAGATAGCTGCTAGGAAACTGAGATACAGTTTACCCTTCACTAGGACTGGAATGGCTGCCACTGGGCCACCAAGTGGCCTATATTTTAGATCAGGCCCTCGTGCTAGCTGGAGATATTAACCAAGAAATGACAAGTTTCAAAAGATTTGTGGGTAAAATAATTCTGTAAGCACTTAAGATTCCAGGATTAACTGAAGGTGCTGTAGATACCACCTTGATAAAAGATTAACTGCATCTATTCATTCATTCATTCATTCATTCAACAAATATTTAACAAGCACCTATTTATGTGCCAGGCACATTCTTAAGGGCTTGGAGTACATCAATAACCAAACAGAGATCCCTGTCCACAAGAAACTCATATTCTAGCCCAGAAAAGGGACCATAAATAATAAATGTACTGAATAAGGAAATTCAGAATGTTGTAATATAATAAGAAAAAAGAGAGTGAGAGCAGTATAAGAGAAATAAATCTGGAACAAAGGAAGAGAAAAAAACTGATTGCAACTGAAACAACAGGGGAATACGATAGGCTTCATCCACAATGTTTCATGTATGAAAGACCATGAGGGAGATGAGGGAGTCAGCCATGCAAGCATATGGGAGAAGAGGGTTCCAGCAAAAGGGAACAGCAAGTTGAAAGGCCCTAAAGTGGAAGGGTGCTTGGGCTCTTCAAAGAAAGGCCAGTAAGCCAGTGTTCCATTATAGAATGGAATGAAAAAGGGGAGAGTGGTAGAAGAGGTCAGGGAGGTACAAAGGCCAGATTGTATGCTTTTACTGAGAATAAAATGGGAAGAGCTTTGATGAAGTGGAGAGAAATGGTCAGAAAGTTAATATTTTTTAAAAATAGATGGGACAGGATTTTTTACTAACTAGATATTGGAATGAGAGAATGGAAAGCAACAGGATATACAAAGTTTTCCAATCTGAGCAACTGAAAGGGTAGAGCTGGCATTTGGTGAGACTGGAAGAGCGTGGAAAAAGTACATTATTGGGGAGAAATAATTATAATATTTTGGCTTTGGATGTGTGCACTTTGAGATGAAATGCATTCTCTCCTATAGCCTCAAGAAGATAAATTCTGCCAACAACTTAAGCTTGAAAATAAATCCTCCTCAAATTAGACACATCCAGTAGGTAAAATATAAAGCAAGCAGTTGGCTGTATCATTGTGAAGGTTAGAGAAGATCAAATTCAACACTGTAGATATAAAACCGAGGGCTGTCCCCTTGTTATCAGTATTTAAAGCCACGAGATACAAGAGGAAATGAACCAGCTGGAGAACTGGCCCAGAAGTGAATAAACTCTTGGTTCCCTAGTTCCCCGTCTCCTGGTGTTCATGGTCCTGTATGATCCCAGGGCCTGTGATTTGCTTCTAACTCACAGAAGATGTGACAGAGTAAGGCAACTGGATGTACGTGTCTTACTTTGTATGATTACCTTATTTCACTCTTGCCCGGAACTTGCTGGTTTTTCCCCTCACCAGCCAACTTTTGTGAAGCAAGCGACCATGTAGGGGAAATTACTTGGCAAGGAACTGAGGGAAGGCTCTAGAAACTGAGGGCAGCTGCAGCTGCCAGCTTGCAAGGCCTCCAGCCCCCAGCCAAGAAGATGTAAGGCCCTCTCTCCTCTAGCCTCAAGAAAATAAATTCTGCCACTGACCTAAGACAGCTTGAAAATAAATCCTCCTCAAATTAAGCATTCAGATGACACACCATTCCCAGCTGACGCCCGGGCTCCAGCCTCGCAGAGGACCCAGTTCTGCTGTGCATAGCCGTCTGATCCACAAAGTAACACAAAAGTGTGTTATTTTAAACCACTAAGTTTGTGGTAATTTTTTTATGCACTGATAGAAAAGTAATATACATCCTGGGTTACTCCAACATTCAGAGGCCAGGGAGACGTGAAAGAGCCAAGAAAAAGGCCAGGGAAGAGGCCAGTGAGGTTAGTAGGAAAAGTGAGAGAAGTATTTCTCCAAAAGGCTTCTTGCCAGCTTCCCAGAGAGGAACAGAGACAACAGGTAAGGGAAAGTTGAGTCCACTGACCTGCTAGGGCTGATAATAATCAGCAGAGAAAGGGACAGAAGACAGGTCCATCCACACCTCTCTACCCTGGCCTCAGGGTCCTCTACCCCTTCCTAGGAGGTGCTAAGAGGCAGTCATGCTACAAGGGAATTGGCAGAAGCCAGAAAGTGTTTTCATTCTTTCTGTTCTAGATGCTCATTCACTAACAATGCTAACTCTTACAATTAAAAGATTCACACCTAATTTTTAGCACTGATGCATTTTCCTGCAGTTTTTTTCTTTTTTTGGGGGGGGGGGTCAGAGGGAGGGAGTCCTTGTAATCTAGCCAGCTGTTCACTGCTAAGTAAATGGCATTCAGCCTTATTAGGCTCCTCAGAAGACCCAATTAGTGCCAGAGCTGTGCTACTTCACTGTTTATAAGGCTTTGAAGGTTGGTATTTCAAAACTGGCTAACACTAATACTAATCAAAGTCGGCTCATTTTAATTACTAAGTAGCTAACATAACCTATTTTTAAACTTTCTGTTGTCATAAGGTATGCAAAGATTGGCTTTTAATTTATTTTTCTAAAAAAAAGAAAAAATCAATATAACCAAATCTAATAAGCATGTGTTATGTGAAAGGCCCTGAGTTAACTAAGTATAGCTCAGTGAAAAAGCTGCCCTGCTGCCTTCTCTACATCTGTAATTTGCGTACAAACTTACACCGTTTATAAAGTACTGTTGCACAAACACAGACAATGTTATGGCCTAATGTGATTAGTATTCAGCTTTTATCCTGATTTATCTATGGTGAGCATCCCATTTTCCTATAATGTTTGAAAGCAATTTCTCCTCCATTTGTTCAATGAGGATTTATTGAACACCTACTTAGTTACATAGAGGGGCAAGTTGGATAAAAAATAGAGAAATATTTACAGTTCCTATTCTATAAGAAACATCCAAACTGTGTCCCTTTTTGTTTTATAGCTTCAATATATTTTATCTATATATGTGTGTGTATATATGCATGTATAGTATGTATTTTTTATATACATACAATCATCCCTCAGTATCTGTAGATTAGTTCCAAGACCTCCCTCAGACATCAAAATATAAGAGGCTTGAGCAACCTCAAGGTGTCCTATCTGCATATAATCTATGTATATCCTCCTGTATACTTTAAATCTTCTCTAGATTACTTAAAATACCTAAATGCCATGTAAATAGTTGTTATACTATATTGTTTAGGAAATAAGGATAATTTTTAAAAGTCTATACATGTTCAGTTCAAATGCATTTTTTCCCAAATAGTTTCAATCCAGAGTTATTTGAGTCCACAGATGCAGAACCCATGGATACAGAGGGCACACTGTATACATACCTATCATGTTTCCCCGAAAATAAGACCTACCCATAAAATAAGCCCTAGTAGGATTTCTAAGCATTTGCACAATAGAAGCCCTACCCTCAAAATAAGACCTACTCATAAAATAAGCCCTAGCAGGATTTCTAAGCATTTGAGCAATAGAAGCCCTACCCCGAAAATAAGCCCCAGCGACGGGCGTGGCTACGCAGTGCATCTGCACAACCCATGCATTTTGTCGCAGACCGGGAAAGAACACGAGCAGCCCTTCTCATCTGCCCCATGGTGACAGCTACTATCCCAGAGGTGACCGGAAAGGTGTGAGCAGCGCCACTAACAAGGTCGGCTCCCACTGTCAGGTCCCGGCCATCCTGTGCGTGCTGTAAGCTGAGGCTTTGAGGGGAAAATAACACATGCCCTGAAAATATGCCCTAGGATGTCTTCTTGAGGGAAAATAAATATAAGACTCTGTCTTACTTTTGGGGAAACATGGTACATACATATATGTACCCCACACACACTGCACACATTTTATCTATATGTACTCTATGTATGCCAACAACACATCTCTGCCTCTTGTATCATCAGGTTTTGCTCTATCATCAAGGCTAAAAGATTAAATCAATTGCCTGTGTTTCACTTTGTTCAGGTTAGCAGTGTCATTTGAAAATTAAATCT